AAATATGTATTCGTCGCTACACAGAAATTACCATGTTTCGGAACAAAAACTAAACTTTAAATTAAACTTAGTTTTTGTTCCATTCTCAAGCAATGTTGAATAACTTTCGAAAAAAATTATTTAATTTTTTTAAGCTAAATAGTACAGTGTAACCCGGATATAAGAGACCCGGATATAAGAAAAACCCGGAGAGATTTTTTCTAGTCCAGAATTAGAGCCTTTGTTAATGTATATGAAATAGACCAAACCCGGATATAAGAGAAACCCTGATATAAGAGACTTCTTCTCCGGTCCCGACAACTCTCTTATTTTCGGGTTACACTGTATTATATAGTTTCAGTTGGAGGTGAAAATGGATTACAAAATTTTAAAAGGGTGTTGCCTTATTTGACGATTCAGAATACAAGTCTAATTTAAAATGGCAGAGTGTAAATATTGGTTTAAGATTAAATGTGGGTTTGTAATTTCTGCCTGTTGATACTGGCTTCCTTATATGAGGACGTGTCATCCTGTTTGTTTGTTTGTTTTTGGGAATACATTTTTTAAGGTACATCAGACCAAACAATTTCACAACAATATTGCTGTCAAATTGTTTTGTCTGATGAGAAGAGAACGATAATTTGGTCTCGCGAAATAAAATGTTACCATGGATTTCTAAAATCTCCGCTTTCATCATCTACAAACTGGTGCCATAGACAGTTTGAAAAACCCTGCGAATTTTAAAATTAAAATTCGTAGGTGAAAATCGTCATTTACTAAAGCTATCTTAATTCCAATTGTAAAGAAAATTTGCTCTGTTAATTGTGAATAAGCATTGAGCGCTATTTTGTGAGTCAGTTTTAACATATTTTAAATTCTATATTTTGTTAATAGGACTCGCCTGAATATACCACTGGATTACTACATATATATATATATATATATATATATATATATATATATATATATATATATATATTTATTTATTTAAAAAATATGATTCCATCGCTACATAAGAGTTTTCATGTTTCAAAACAAGAGCCGAAAACTTCAATATAATTATTTGAATTAAATTGGAGTTAACTACCAAGCTCTATTCCATCTTCAAGCAATTTTTTTTTTTTGGGGGAATATATATATAAATATATATATATATATATATATATTAA